CCTTTCTTCATGGCTCCACATAGCTTCTCAAACCAAGCTCGAGGGGACTGTTATATAGTGCTTTTCTCAGTCTACACACTTTCCTGTCAAATTCATAACCTGGTAGAGGATCCATGAATACCTCCTCATGTAGATCACCATTTAAAAAGGCATTCTTCACATCCAGCTGATGAAGCTCCCACGAGAAGTTTGCAGCTAATGATGGTAGAACTCTGATAGTGTTGAGTTTTGCTACCGGAGCAAATGTTTCTTTGTAGTCAATTCCTTCATATTGAGTAAATCCCTTTGCTATGAGTCTAGCCTTGTATCTTTCAATGGACCCATCCTCCCTATGCTTCACAGTAAACACCCACTTGCATCCAACAGTGCCTTTCCCTTCTGGTAGATCTACTAATTCCCAAGTCCCTGCTTTCATTAAGGCCTTCATTTCTTCATTCATAGCCTCTTTCCACTTTGGGTCAGACACTACCTCTGAGTACCTAATAGGAACATGCACAGAAGAGAGAGTAGACACAAAAGAACAACAACGAGGGGACAAATGTGAGTAAGACACAAAATTAGCAATGGGGTGTCTGATAGTACAAGAACGGGTAGACTTACGAAGGGCAATCGGAAGATCCAAGTCAGAGGAATTGATAGGATTACCTTGAGTTACTGAGACAGGTTGATTTGAGTCCAATTGGTTGCTGTCATGAGTTGGAGGACTCTTCTTCCTTCTATTGTAGGTGATTTTGATATCTTTTTGTTGCCTGCTGGAGTCTTTAGTAACATTTGCAACATCACTAGTAGTAGCTGGGCCAATGGGAGCCTCACTAGATTCACYTGGGATACTACAACTAGGAGGATCAAGAGGAGAGGATGGAAGATCCGAAGCAGAGAGGGGCACAAAGGAGGGAATAGAAGGATCAATAGGAGGGTCCTCTTCCATCCCACTAGTCTCCCCCTGAAGAGGATCCGGGGAAGAGGGAAAGTAGGATTGAGACTCAAAGAACACCACATCTTTTGTGACATTTTTTCTTGGTGACTGGATCGTAACACTTGTATCCCTTCTGAGTAGGAGAGTACCCCAAGAAAATTCCCTTCGTAGCTCGAGGATCCAATTTGGTCTTCTTTGGATCCTTGACATGTATGAAACATACACACCCAAAGACCCTTGGTGGAAGAGAAAAAATAGGAAGGTGAGGGCAAAGAACAGAAAATAGAGTCTTCATCCCCAAGACCTTAGATGGCATTCGGTTTATCAGATATGATGCAGTAAGGATTGTTTGAGACCAATAGGCTTTTGGAACCTTGTGCTGAAATAGTAAAGCTCGTGCAGTCTCCAATAAGTGTCTACTCTTGCGCTCAGCAACCCCATTCTATTGGGGGGTACTAGCACAAGATGATTGATGGATCATTCCCGCATCCTCCATAAACAAGTTAAGGACCTTTCGAAATATTCAGCAGCATTATCTGACCTGAATTGCTTGATTTTCTTGCCAAATTGTGTTTCAATCATTTTGCAAAATGCCATGGTTACTTGCGACACTTCATCTCGTGTCTTTAATAAGTAGATCCATGTGCATCGAGAATAGTGATCAATAAAACTGATAAAGTATCAATAGACATCAATAGAAACAATGGGAGAAGGCCCCAAACATCAGAGTGGACTAAGTCAACAGTTGCTTGAATTTCATTACTAGAAGTTGAATACACAGTTCTACACTGTTTTGATAATTGACAGACTTCACATACTAACTTTTGACTTGAAACACCTTGGAACAATTCCGGAAACAACATTTCCAATGACGAAAACTGTAAATGACCTAACCTAGCATGCCACAGGTGTAGCTTAGTTAATGACTCCACATTAGATTGACCACTAGTAGATGTTTGTAGGGCCGAACTGATGTCTGCATCAAGGTAGTAGAGGCCTCCACGATCATGACCGCTCCCAATCGTTCTCTTCGTCAAACTGTCCTGAAAAACACAATGAGTAGGAAAAAAGGTTATGCTACAGTTCAAGTTCTTGGTAAGTTTTGAAACAGATAAAAGGTTTGAAGAGAGATTGGGAACATGCAAGACAAATTTGAGTGAGAGGTCCTTGCTTAGGTCAACCACTCCTTTCTTAGATATGGTAGAGAGGGAACCATTAGCAACCTTCATCTTGTCTTGGCCAGACATTAAATGATAGGAAGAAAATAAAGAAGACATGTTAGTCATGTGGTCATTTGCACCGGAATCAATAATCCAAGAGGCTGGATCAATGGAACTAGTTGCACTAAAGGCGGAGACAATACCTGATCTGTCAAGGGAGGTGGAAGCAAGGGAATTTGTCCTTAGGCGGGCTAGTGCCCGGCTAAGTACCTCTACCTCATCAGCTGTGAAATCCATAGACCCATGTCCTTGGGAACTAGTAGTCAGTCCCATGGAAGAGGAAGCGACTGTGGATGAGTGTTTGGAACCTCCATCACTGTGACTTGCTGCCAGGTTCCCACTTGCAGATTTGCCCTTATGGTGCTTCTTATCTTTCCTCAATGCAGCTGGTTTCAGATGAGGATAGAGAACCCAACAGGTCTCTTTCACATGCTTTTCTCCCCCACAGTGAGTACACTTCAGGTGTCTCTTGTCAGAGAACTTGTTCCCCCTTTGATTTGTAGAAATTAGGGCTGAATGTTCTATAGACTRTTCAGCTAGTTTAGTYTGAGCATCWACTTGCATCTCTTTTCTTCTCACCTCTTCATTTCTCACAAGGTAGTAGACATGATGTAAGTCGGGCATCTCATCTCTTCCTAGAATTTGGGACCTTATGTTCTCATATATTGGATTTAGGCTAGCCAAAAATTTGAATGCTCTACCCTCTTCAACTTGTTTGTCATGTTTCTCCTTGTCTCTGGCATTCTCCCAGTCAATGATGAGGTGGTGATCCAGCTCTTCCCATAGTCCTTCTAATGTAGCAAAGTATGTTGCAACACTCATATCTCCTTGCCTYAGGGCAGCAATATCTTGATTCAGTCTATAGATTCGGGCATTATTTTTTTTCTGCCCATAGGTCTTAGACACCTTTTCCCATATCTTGGCAGCTGTGGAGAAGTGTTGAACGGTCCTAGCTACCCTTGGAGTCATTGAAGCAAGTAGCTAGGACATGACTGTAGCATTCTCTCTTCTCCAAATAGCATATTCAGCACTCCCTATTTCGGGTTCTTTCTTCTGCCYRTCCAAGTAGCCGGTAAGATCCCGGGATGTGATAAAGAGCATGGCTGAAACAGACCATTCCCTAAAGTTGTATTCGTCTAGCAACACATTTGTTATCTGTAGGCTGTGCAGATTTGGGTTCTCCAGATTAGGAGACTTCTCACTAGCCCTAACATCTCTAGAAGACACTTCCCCGGATATGGAAGACATCTTCTCCGACTTGCAAGGGTACCAAAAACTGTCACACAAGTTATATGAAACCACTTCAGACTTACGGAGCTTGCAGCACTGTAAACTCAGACCGGAGGGTCTGTATCAGGACCGAAATACCAAGTTCCACTCTGCTGTACTGCTCTAACTACTGCTGTTGCAAGCTGCCACCAAACTGCTGAAGCACTGAACTGAAGCCCTTCTGCTGTGTTTAGCCACTGTTGCCGCAGCCTGGACCAGGATGCCCCTGATTAGTGATGGGACACCCAGTCAAATAAGACACTAAATAAAAATAGGCCCAGTAACTAAGGCCCATTAACTAAAGACTTAATACCCAACCCAGACAAGAGGATAACAAAATATCAGCCGAACCAACAAACCATTTTAATGGTGATGGCTTCAATTAGGGCTTCCCTATGTCCCTCTTTTTCTGCGAAAGTTCTTCGGTTCCTCTCTTCCCATATTGCCCAACAAATTGTTGCTCTTGTACACCTCCATAAAACTCTTCCCCTCTTCCTCTTCCAACAAACAAAGGTAGGGCTAAACAAGCTTTGTACATTTGGTGGGGGGTTATACCTACACCCAAAAAAGGAAAAAAAACCATTTCCAAATTGCTAAAACAAAGGGACAGGAGATTAATAAGTGAAGGGAAGACTTACGATCAATTTTACAAAAGGGACACCGATGAGGAGATAAAACAAAGCATAAATTAGGTCTTTTCCTTTGGAGCAGGTCACAATTGTTAATCCTAACCAGAAACACTTCCCAGCAAAAATCACAACACTAGGCGGGATTGGTTTACTCCAAACCTCATTAGCTGGAAAAGGTATGCCCAGGCTATCATTAGGCTGAATTTTAGAGACAGAAGGAAGGTAAAACAAGTGAATGAACCCGAGGAGGAGAGAGTCCAAATTCGACAATCAATCCTGGAGGGGTCCAGGAAAACCTTTTCAAGATTTGAAGAGCTTGATCTTTGATTGACAGGTTGAAACCCTACTTTATTTGGCTTTTCCCATATTTTAAGCCCCTCTTAGATTTTGTTCTTACTCTATGAGATATATTTGTCATGTGCTAGAAATGTTGGAACTATTTAGAAATCCTGGAAGTTATTAGATTTAGTATCCTCTCTTAGGGAAAGGAAAGTATTGAGAATATCCTAAGCCATGATTGAAAAGAAAATAGTTCATGGTTTCTTTTTTTTTTGGAATTTATGTAATGGCTACTTGTAAACTTTGGGGTTTATTTCATATACATTTGCTGAACTTTTCTAGATGTTTTCAGGAACCTCTCGAAGTCACTGGATTTAACAAGGAAATTGTATACATATCAGCCGGTTATCATCATTCTTCTGCTATCACAGGCATGGATTATAGGACTTTAATTGATTCTATTCTCAGTTATTCTAATTGGATGCATTTCCTTTCTATTTTTTTCCTTATTTGGCAGGAGATAATTTTATACTGTAATTTTGGCTGTTTGGTTTTCAATCTATCCATGAATTTTTTTTTTCTTTTTTAGAGAAAATCTATCCTTAAAATCTTGATGGTATCCTTGTGTTGTTTCATGGAAAATAGTTTGGATACATTCTGTGGTTCACCTACCTAGCTTTTCATCTTGATCTATCAATGGCTTAATTCGTTCATTCATGTGAATTATTCACATATTTTGCTACTCAAGTTAAATATGCTACAGAGACATTATAGGCAATCTTGTAAACAGTCAGGTATTGCATCCAACATATTTTTGTGAGATGTTTCTGAAAGGAAAGTATTTGTTCCAGTCAGTGTATTGAAAGAAAGTGTGCTAATGTAGAAAAATATGTTTAGATATGACAACCTCATGAAGCATAAGAATCATATGACAAATTTGGCCTTAAAATGCATATTTTGCATTTGGCATGTACAAGGTACAGTAGAGTTGTTACCCAGGCATGGCTGGCATAGGTGGAGTAATCAGAAAAGGAGAAGGAAACATCACTACAATGTACTCAGGATCTGTAGGGATTGGGGGCTCAGTCAAGGCTGAAACTTGGGCAAACCTTTGTGAAATAAGAAGGGCTAGATCAATGGGCATCACAAACTTGATAATTGAAGGGAATTGAGAATCGTAATTGGTGGTTATGTGGAACCCAACAGATTTCTTGGAAGTATAGACCTTTTTTTGAACAATAACAGAAACAGAATTCATTAATAATCAAAGAAATAAGTACAAACAAGAGAAATGGAGAGATAAACTCTCTTATCTCTCCCTAAAAAGGAAGTAGTATTACAACCATGCCCAAAACAATTGGCTCCTTCCCACCCCTTGTTTAGCCAAAGAATTAGCATCTCTTTTAATCCGCTTTAGAGTGATATACATGTCTTGCATCAGCTGCTTGATTCTTCTCTTCTCATAGATGAACCCCCACCAATCCACTTCCTCTTCCTTTTGCAACCATCTAATGACTAGTTTTGAGTCTTCCTTGATTGATAACTTCCGAATATACAACTCTTTTGCTATTTGAATACCCTCCAAGACGGCCAATCTTTCAGCTCTCAAATAATCACCTACCTCAATATTTATTGGAATTGGAAGTATAGACATGCTGTTTGAGAAATAAAGTATTTGATTGAGCACTTGATAAGTAACTGTAACTTGGGTGCCACAATGTGCAAATGGACTGGAAAACAAGGGACCATGCGGGATACAATGCTCTGGAGTCAAGTAATGTAATGCATCAGAATTTTATTGTTGTTTCTTGGAAGTTATCCAATGGCAACAACCTCCTTGGGGTGTAAGACTCTAGAAATTTGATAACATTAATAAATTGTCAGTTATTCATCAATATATATATATATATATATATATATAGGTGCCCCCTCAACACCGTTCGAGGTTGTATTTGTTTTTTTTCTTTTTTATAAATTTTCGTTCTACTTAAAAAAAAGAACAGGTAGAGTTGTTGGTACATGAACATGACAACAAGGATGAACAGGTCTGAAGGGTTGGAAAAGCAAATCTGGGATAGGTGCTATTTATTTCAACTGGTTTTCTTCGTTCCAAATATGAACCTTTCTCCAATTCCTTGTATAACTTTTCCTGGAATAACAGTTTGACAGCATCTTGGTGGAGCATAAAAAAAAACCTTTGTACTAGACATCTTTTCAGTTAATACATTTTTTTATAGTAAATAGTTTACTTCACCCTTTTTTACTAGACAGTGTCCGGTTGAGCAGAGGAAACATGGAAAACTTAGGATAATGAAGCTTTCTAGCTGCATATTGATTAGAGTAATAAAGGAGCAAACCAAGTATAACAGCAAAGTAATGTCTTGCCAGGACTTGTGATACGATTCTAAAGAGGAAAATAATTTAGTCCAAAATCAAATATGAAGTTTAACTAATAAAATATAAAGACATGCTGTCCATCTTCTATATAAGCCCCATTAGAAAAACTTAAGTACAGGTTAAAACCATTTGGAGACATGTAAAACTTCCACTGACCTTTAGACAACATGATATCTGGCATGGAGTGCTACTTTCTACTGGCATGTGATATGTTATGATGCCGCTTTTTCCTTAATGAAATCAGAAAGATCATAGACTCTATCAGTTGCTGCTTTAGATGGATTCCTAGAGAGCTTAACTGTAGTGCTGACAGCTTGGCTAAATCTGGGGCGGAAAGGGATTTTTTGTATAGCAGGAATACATTACCATTGCAAATTCCGGGAGTTTCCTTTTGTTACTTTTTGTCATCTTTGAGTGTACATTCCCCCTCTCTTTTTTTCAATGAAAGTTACATTTTCTCAGATAAAAAATGATATGTTATAATGAGAATTAAACTGAACACCTTTTTAATCTCTGATTTGTTCAGCTAGAATTTTGCAAGCATGTTTTGTTAATAAATGTGTTGGTTATTTGTAAGTGCTAATTGCTTTTAGCATGTATTGCAAACAATATGGATTAATAGTTAAATATCTGTTTCGGTCATGTATGCACTTTTTATTAAATTTATATATGCATCTCTTATTTTCTTATTTTCTCAAACAAAATTATTCATATTTTTGCAGTGGACGGGGAACTTTACATGTGGGGAAATAATTCCAGTGGGCAGCTTGGCCTTGGGAGAAGTAGTAACTAAACCATTTCCTCCTTTTTAATGTTGTAGTGTACACTGTTTTTTTCTATGAATTTTCTAAAGTAAACCATGTATCTTTTTCAATTTTTGAAATTCAAGTTATAGACCAAAATCATTCCATTTCAGCACTTAATCGAAGTTGAGAAATATTGTCATAATATTATTTCCTTTTGTTTCCTTCATCCAGAACTTTCACTTGCTGATCAAGTGTTATTATATTTTTATTCTCCCTCCCCTTCATCTCCCTCTATTTCAGTTGGCATTTGTTCTCCATGAATTCTCTTGTAGTACTCTTTGCTTGATCTGCTTTCCGTAAACTCTCTGTTTTGTCATTTATAGCAAAACAATTAATTAAATGGAAATTTTTGCCAACCGTGTTATTCTAAATTGTTGCTATTTCTCTCTGTTTCATTTGCCCCCTTTTTATTTTAGGTATTTGAGTAGCTGACCCCATATAGTTGGGACAAGACTTGGATGATGGTGATAATTATTTTAGGTATTAGATAATATGAAATTAAACAATGGATATGACATTAAACAGAATGGAATGTGGAAACAAGATTAATGTAGCCAACCCCATATAGTTGGGGTAAGGCTTAGATGATGACGATTGTCATGATATGAAATTAAAATGTAATCTATACAGAAACTAACTACAAAATTGATCATTGTTTTTACTAATCTGAAGGAGCAGCAAAGATAGTTTCTTCACCAAGTATAATTGAGTGCTTGGGTGGAATGCGGATTAAAATGATAGCTTTGGGTTCAGAGCATTCAATTGCTGTCACAGGTAGCTAGATTGGTGCACTTATAACCCTAGTTTACTGATTTTACTTGGTGGTTGTGGCATTCTATTTTTCTTGTTGACAATGTAGTATATATCTGGGTTCTAAGAAATGGTCTTATTTGTTTTTTTTTTTTTGTTTCTTTGTATCATGTAGATGATGGTGAGGCCTTAACCTGGGGAGAAGGTGGATCTGGAAGACTTGGTCATGGACATCAATCGAGTATTTTAGGTTTTTTAAGAAGTCCAAGGTAACTTCTTAGGGTTTCATGATCACAAGGATTCTGCATCACTATGAACATGTTATTTGTAGCAAATTTTTCCACTTTGCCTTTTTTTCCTGATATTATCATATTTTTAATATCATTCCATGCTTACCTTCTTTTCCTTCTATTTTTATCAATAACAGAAAATTTATTGTTTGTCATAAGTGGGAAAATACAGAAGAAAGGCACCCAAAACAGAAGATGCCTCAACAAAAGATACAAACCCATGGACGAGAGCCCAATAATTTAAATATGTTATTATTAATTATAATGAATTATTTAATTATTTATTATATTAAATAATCATAATTATTTACTTATTATTAATTACTTATTTGTTAGTAATAATTATTTATATTCTATAAAATAAATTAATAATTCTATAATGATTTGTGTTTAATATTTTCTATTACTTATTAAATAATTAATAATTAATTTAATTAAAATATTTTATTAATATTTTATTAAATAACTAATAATTTATTAACAGGTCGTGGGTCTATCATTTACAAGGTTTTTATGTTGAATAAGTTTCCCCCTCCTTTCCCACTTGTTTCACACCAAAATGGTGTGCTTTCACTTCCGAAGAATTGAGAACTGCAATCCCACCTTTTTCCCATCCCATCTCATAACATCCCACAAACCAAACATGGGAAGGGAAGAATATTTGAGAATATTCCTTTTTCCCCTTCTCATCCCACAAACCAAACAGATCCTATAAAAGAAAAATAAAAGTCCAAATCTAGATTGCGAAGGGAAGAGGAGTTCGGTTGAATCAGTATACTTAAAAATATTAGGAAAATTGTATTCTTGGTTAGCAGTACACAAAGAGGTTACAGGAAAAGATTACAAGCCCTTTTTTGTCTTTGAAAATCTTTTTGTTTATGTAGAGAACACTGATGTGGGCCCCACTRCAGTGGTCCCCACCGTGTTCGTAGGACAGCATGTGTAGTTATTTGTTTCAGTTATAGTAGTGTCAGTTTGTTAATTCAGTTGTTATTTGTTTCAGCTTTATTTACTTTATTTATTATGTAAGTACTAAGGGCAGATGTGTCCTTTCCATTGTGTACTAAACATAACCTATAAATAATAAGAAAGTGGCGGTGGCAGATCTGTTAGAATCTGTTCC